ATGCTATAGTGATMCGATTTGTGTAATTTTTTCRCAATTTTTTACGTTCCTTTCGAAAACAATCTATCCGGAAGTTTGTAAAGATATCTCGTCAAATGAAAAAGTTTCCCATACAAGCACTCAATTCCGAACGTTCAGTTTATATGGCAACCATACGCTATAGTAATTCGATATCAGCGATTCCGGCAAATTAGCGGTTTCTTGGTGACAAAAAAACATGTGAAAATTTTYAGACCGATAGCTTAAAACGGAAAGTTTAGTTCGTGTATCGGATGGATATCGGATGGATCGACTTAGCTTACCACGCCGATCATCTATAGATTCCTATTTATATATATTATTTATAGAGTTCCTGTCGTTTCCTTCTGGATGTTACAAACTTTATAGCAAATTTTTACAGAGTAATGATTTTTAGTGTTCTCGGTAGCTTTGTTTATACATATATGACAACACATAGATCCGTCCACCTGTATTATAACATAAAGACGATTGTTACAAAAAGAAAGATAGATCAAATGTTTATTGAAGCTGATCCATATCTGTAGCACAAAATAAAGACCATCGTTACAAAAGGAATAAAAGCTCGTTGAAATGCCGAATGAAGCTGATCTACAGAGTTCTCTGGTCGTATATAAGGTGTTCTCGAACTTGAGACCTTAAGAAACCGTGTAATAATTTCAGAAATGAAACGGTCTTAAGCAAAATGGATTTCTATCTCAGTTTTTCGTTTCGAAAATAGCCAGTTGATTGATACAGTACCGAAATCTGGTGTTAAAACAAAGGTTTTAGGTTTCATTCCTGGACTGCCGATCCCAAAAATCATAGCTCCTATCATAATAAGTTTACCATAACAAGGCTAAATCCTGTTTGAGGTTATATACTTCCCTGTCCTAGACTAGAGGTTATACTAATTCCTATCCTAGACTGTTCCTTTAGTTTCATTTATTCATTTCATTTTTTGTCATATTATATTTTGTTTATACGAAAATATCCTAACAATTTTTTCTTTAATTTATTTTCAATTAAATAACTAAATTTTACAATTTTCGCCAATTTCACACGGTTACTTTACATGTAAAATTGCAACCAAATATTAAATATTTAATAGAGGCGCTTATTTGCCCTCACAAATCACAGCAAAAGCAAATAAAGTGGCATTATTTACTTTATTGCGCATGAGCTCTTCAATTGAATTTTGTATTGAAAATAATTTAATTTGAAACTTTCGTTTAATTAAGAGTTGTAAATTATTTATGGACATTTTAGCAACATTGTCAGTGTAATAATATTGATGATGGTGATTATGCCGATGCTGTTAATKACGTTGACGGCAGTGATAATTAAAATGATGATTATACTCATGTGTTATGATGTCGCTCATAATGGGAGTGGCGTTGAGCGAGTGGGTGTTTTAAAATAGTTTGCTCAGAACATTTCGCTTTTMATGCATACAGTTGATTTCAAAAACTATCATGGCCGTCTGAAAGTTGTATGAAGATAACGAGTACAACGAGTATTGGCTAGAGACTGTAGTTTGAGTAAGTGAGTAACTGCAATTAAATTAAGTATAGCGAGTAAAGTTAGTGTAGCGAGTAAAATGAGTGTAGCGAGTAATTTAAGTATAGCGAGTAATTCAAGTGTAGCGAGTAATTTAAGTATAGCGAGTAATTCAAGTGTAGCGAGTAATTTAAGTATAGCGAGTAATTCAAATGTAGGGAGTAATTCAAGTGTAGTAATTCAAGTATAGCGGGTCAAATTAATGCAGCGAGTAATATAAGTGAAGCGAGTAATTTAAGTGCAGCGATAAATTTAAGTGTAGCAAGTAAAATTAGTGTAGCGAGTAAAGTTTTTAGTTAATTGTAGCGAGTACATTGAATATAGCGAGTAAASTAAGCATTGCGCGTAAGATAAGAGTAAAATGAGTATAGCTTGTAAAATAAGTTAAGCGAATAAATTAAKTATAACAAGTAAAGTAAGTATTGGATAGTGAGTACCACTTGTATAATAAGTACTTTGTGTTCACCGAGTACTGTGAGTATAGCGGGTACATCAGTTAAAGTTAGTATAACGGATAATAACCAGGATAATGAGTACAGCAAATATAGGTTTAGTACTAGTTACTACAACGAATGTAGTGAGTATAGCGGGTAAAGTAATTATGGCGAATATAATGGTATAGCGAGTAAAGTAAGCGAGTGAGTATACAAAGTACAACCAGTACAATGTTTACTGCGAGTATAGCAAGTACAGTTACTAAAGCTAGTAAAGAAAGTATAGCGAGTACATTTACGTGAACCACTGTATATTTATATCCACTCGAATATATAACACAATAACTTTAATAAATTAGCGCTTTTTATTGAGGAGTTTGCAAAAARAATACAATTAAATTGTGGCTTTGTTATGCATTGTCCCAAACCAATACCAATACACATAACAGTGAATGATTCATACATCGTTACATAAAAAACTCTCAAAGGTTCAGAATGCCTTTGCTAATCTTTAATTAATGGTATTAAAAACTGATTTAAAGGCTATTTGCGGAATTAATAAATTAAATTTAAATTAATTTAGTTGGATTATATAGTACTTTTGTCGAGAATAATACAAAATAAAAATAAAAATTTTGTACAACAGTTAATACTGGAAAAAAAATATATATTTTTTTGGTTGAGAATAACTACTGGGAGAGAAGATCCAACCGAATTGTATGTTTAGCGGAAGTTTGAAGTTTCAAGTGTTAGCTTCTTGTTAAAGGACATGTGTATAATGAGGTGGATCACATTTTCTTTTTATAAAAATTTTGCTGTACCCGCTTTAAAAAAAAATAAAAGTTTTGTATAAATATTTTTTAAATTATGTTTTTTTTT